AAGCAGAGGCAGAGCATGCCCAGGGCAGGCAGCCAGAGCCAGCACAGAGCCACACTCCCACCCCTGTAGGAGCAAGACCCACATCTGCACTCACTCCAGGCTAATCTCAGTCTCTCCCACTTCTCCCAGGTGTGCATCAGCACAAGCACCAGCCCAGTGCCACTCAGCAGGGCTTCCAGCCCAGGCAACTGCTCCAGCATGTGTCCACTTCCTCCACAGGCCTGAGCTCTTCAAAGATCAGGAGGCAGAAGCAGGACATGAGGGGCAGCTTCAGGACACAGCACTTCACAGAAGGGTGCAACGAGTCAGCAGCAGGGAACAAAAATCCCTCGTGGCAAACAGCAAGGTTGTTTCTTGGAGAGCAAGGGGGTTTGAAACGGGAACAAACGATTTAATATGCAACTAGACTCTGCCTCTGCGGGTTGTGAGCCAGCAGAGCCACACCAGCAGGTGTGTCTTGAGTCCAGCAGCAGCACAGAGCCAGAGCTGTGGACCATCTCATCAACTCTGGCCCATGATGGGGTCATGCACTTCAACATCGCTGAGCTCCTCTGCTAATTAAATCAGGCTTTGCTCATGCAGTTTCCCTGGTCTTCTCACTGCCTAGTAATTGTCAGGTGCAATCAGAAAAATCAACAGAGAGCTGTCCAGCCTTTCCCAGACCACCTTTGCCATATTCCGTCCTTCTCAGCATGACTTCTACACCCTCGCAGAGCAGGAGGCTGGTGCTGGCACAGGGATCCCGTGCTGAGGCTTGGTGGTCCTGGTCCAGGCTGAGCAGGGATGGCAGGCACAGATCACCCATCCTGGGAGCCCCAGGGCTCTGGGCCCAGCTGAGCCTTGGCATGCAGGGGACCCCGAGGACGGGAGCAGCACGAGGTACCACCCACCCTGTCCCACAGAGCAGGCTTCAGGAGCAACGTGGTGATGCCCAAACTCCAGCCCTGGCAGTACACACAGCCTTGGCTGCCGTGCCACAACAGACATTGTGTGCCACCCAAGGTGGGCGAAGGTTCCCATCCACAGGGAGGGTAGACATGAGAATGGCACAGTCCAGCACCCTGCCCTCAGTGCCATCACAAGCACTGTCACCAGGAGGGCAGGGCAGGGACCTGTGGCACCGCTGCACACCTGCAGGAGGGTCAGCCAGGCAAGGCGGGCCGGGCAGGCTGTGACCAGAACCACCCCTTGCTTCTCCACAAGTGTCCCCAGTGCCATTTGGCAGCACTCACCACTCGTCTTCCTTGTCCTGGGAAGGAGGGCTGTGGAGCAGCAGGCGGGGAGAGGGGAGGGAGCTGCTCAGCAGGCTCACGCCTCCGACATGTGCTGCGCGCAGCTCCGCCAGACCGCAGGATCTGGCTCACTGAACGTGTGGAAGCAACACTTCTCCGTGTCTCACTTTACAAAGCCCCAAACAATAACTGTCTGTCGCTGCACAGGAGCTTAGGAGAAACATAAGTTGCTATTGGCATGGTGCACGACAGCCTTCCTCTTACACAACACCAGCAGATGTGAAAATAGCCCAGTGCTGCCTTGTGCGTTCCTCTGACCTCCTGTTTGCTTCTGGATCAGATTCCAAAGCTGGATCTTAACCTACAAGAGCCATAAAAGCAAAGGATTTGGCCCTATCAGGGACCCCTCCATAATCTAAGACAGATGCTCTCCGTGTAGAGGAACACGGTGAGGGTTTATCAGGGCAGGGAAGAGGCTGAAGCAGGACCACCCTGTGCTCCACAGCACAGCCAGGGCAGCCCCCTCACCGGCATCGCCCCCTGCTCTGGCTGACCATGTGCTGCGGGGACAGAAGAGCTGGAAGCTCTTGCAAGCCAGGACAGCACTCAAAACCTTGCATCCTACTGCTCAGCCCACACTGAAGCTGCCTCCAGCCCCCACCTGCCCTGGCAAAGGGAGCCCTCTGAGGTTCCCTTGTCCCCAGGCCCAGTGTCCGAAGGGTCATGGTGCTGCCAGAGCTGGCACAGCTTGGGTGATCCCCTCCAACTGTGCAAGGTGCTCCTGGCCTTTCCCACCTGCTTGAATAGCAGAGACTGACTCCAAAGCCAAACCCAAAACCACCCTGAGACATACAGAGGGAAAAAGCACATGGAAGAGAAATTGGTTCTGAAAGAAAGAAAAGATAGCAGGAGAATAAACTGAAGGATGCTAAAGGCACGTGATAAGAGGGAGAGATCAGTAACCATCAATGAAAGGGCATCCCTGAGAACAATGTGCATAAATAAATTATTGTCTCCAGGGTCCCCAAGGGTATCCAGTATCTCTGCTCTGGAACTGCAGCAACCCCCAGCAGCAGAGGAACTTCCTAAGATGCAAGAGAGGAAAACAAGACAGGGCTATTACTGTTGCAGGGGAAGGGATCAGTGAATGAGTTGTCCTCCAGGCAGCTCTGTGAATACAGGGCTGCTCCCAGGGGTGTGCTGCACCAGCAGTGCTCCCCTCTGACCCAGCACGTGCTCACCCCCATGTTCCTTGGTGGAAATGTCACACGACAGAAAAGCCCTGGAGTCCAACTCATCCAGGAGTCTAAATTTGCTCCTGGAAGCTCCAGACCCTTCAATCTCCCTGTGGCCCAGGCTGGGGAACGGCCCCTCCAGTGCTGCCACAACCTGCCCACAGGTGATGCTGCCCCTGACCGGGTCACCCACCAGCAGCTGTGCAGGGGGCTTGGAGTCCACAAGAAAGTTTTCAGCCAGCAATGAGCCACCGACCACCAACTGCAGGCAGCTCACACGTCAACGCGCCGCAGGTTCGTACACGAGGAACTAAAAGAAGATACAGAACCCCCAAGCCGTGGTGTTGTGCCCCAGAACACCTCCAGCCCCACACACGCTGGAGGGATCCCTACCTCTGCACACAGAGCCACAGGGTAACAGGCAGCAGCAGAGGAGTGTAATTCTAAGAGTAACACATGGGACAACCCGCAGATCACTGCTTGAGCGGGAGGGCGAAAGGTGGCCTTAGAATATAATCCACTTCAGGAGCTCTTAAATCTCTCCAATACAACACAGAGCCCTTTAAGCAAAACTAAACAACTTCCTTTAGACTAAATAAATATTAAACCTAAGTGATGCATTAATTTACTCCAGTTCACCAAAGGCTAACTCCTACCCAAACTGATCATTATGAAAGAAATCCTATAATCCCTCGTTCCCATTCAGGCTCAAAACATGTAATCCCGTGAATAAATCCAGAAAGAAAGTGTAACAAAACGGGCAATAAAAACTTACAGCATTCACATCTTTTCATCTCCCATTAATACTGTAAACACTCACTCGAAGGCCCTCGAGTATGACTAATCTAATGTTTTGGCTCCCAACGCTGATCGCCGAAGGAGCTCCACTCTCACTGTGACACCCAGCAAGCTCCGCTGCCCTCCAGCTGCAGCCAGGACACCCCCGGAGTGCCCAGCGCAGCCATCCCCACCTCACATCCCACAGAATGCTGCAAAATCAGCACGACACGGAGCAAGTATGGTTCTAATAGCACCAGAGCAGCGCAGAGCTTTCTTTTTTTCCTTTTTTTCCTTTTTTTTTTTTTTTATTATTTTATTGCTTTGGAAGCCTGCAAGCTCCAACTGTATAAATGCCAATAACTTTGTTTTAAGGCTGCTGAAGTAAGAGATCAGATTTTAGCAAGTGCTTTCCAGGCATCCAGCCAAACTTTTTCTGATTCACTAAAAGCACCAAAGGGAGGGGGAAAGGGAGGGGGCTGGAGGGCTGATTAACTTCAGTTACCGCACAAGCACAAAAAAATGTCTCCCCGTTGCAAAGGGTGCTGGCGCTGCGAGCCCTGCGCAGCCTGTTATTCCTGGGGCTTGAAAAAAAAAAAAAATGCACCAGAGAAATAGAGCAAACACCTTCCAACCGCAGGGTAATTTACAGCTGTGGATCCCTCTCCTGCTGAGGAGGCTGCTCCGCTGGGGGAGGCTCTGCTGGTGTTGGGTTCGAGCTGCAGTTTTTGGTGGGGATGAGGAAAAAAAAAAAAAAAAACATGACCGGGGATTTTTTTGATGGGTGGGGAACCAGGGGATGGGGCTGGTCTGGGTTTTAGCTTAGCCAGAAGGATAGAGCCCCCTCCGAGGCTGTGGCTGTGCTCATCCAGGACCATCCCTTGCTGCTGTTGGGCATCTGGAAAGGGTTAGCAGGTGCAGCCCTGGCCAACACATCACACGGGGCCAAGGGGTGGCACGGGCATCCCCCAGTCCCGGGGGGATGGTGGGCTGGATGGAGCCACTGGAGCAGTGGCACCTGCTCTGCCCAGCCCTGCAGGCAGTGAGGTGTGTGGCCAGGGGGCTGTTGGGAGGCAGCTGCCATCCTCATCCCCATCCCCATCCCGCGGGCGCCTGGGCTGCAGAGCTTCGCCGCTCAGGGTGTTCCTCCAACGGCTTCATTCCTGCCGAGGCAGGATCAAAGGCTGGAGCTGACTTGGACGGCGTTCTACTGAATAATGGGGAGGGAGCACACAGCCTCCTTCTCCTGGCTAGGGAAACTCGTGTTTTTCAAAGTATCAGTTTTTTGGGAGTAAGTTCCCAAAGAGGGAAAGGAAAAAAGAAAAAAAAAAAAAGGGGGGGGGGGGAAGAAAAGAAGGAAAAAAATAAAAAGGAGGGCGAGCAGGAGAACGCCTGCTCTTCCAAGGCAAGTGCATCAATCAACATTGTGCAAGGAGAGTCCAGCACTCCCTCTCACATCATTAGCCAGGCTAATGCACTCCAGAGGATCCCGCTACGGCAGGCTACCGGCGCACCGGCTGCTCCCCAGCCCCGCACGGCACAGCCACAACCGGGCACGGAACGGGAGCGGAGCGCGAGGGGCAGTCCCGGTCCAGGGCAAGTGACACTCCAGCATCTGGTGCGGGGCTCGGTTTAATACGGCTATAAAAACTAGAAGTGAAAGCCCCAGCCAAACCTGCCTGGCACTCGAGGTCAGCACGCCGCCTTTGTTTCTATTTTACAACCAAAAGCGAGAGAGGACAGAAAGGACACGTACCTGTACCTGAAAGCACAGCAGCAGGAAATGTAAACATCTGGAGAGGAGAAAAAAAAAAAGCAACAAAAGATCAAATGATGTGGTAAAATGGTTAAAGTTGGATGTTTTTGCCTTTTTTTTTTTTTGCTTTGTTTTTATTTGCAATTTTTTAAAGGGCACAGAGCGATGCTCCGCTTATAGAAAGGCTTGGGTCCCAATTACCACCTGGTTGCAAGGAAAATGCAACCGGAGCCTCCAGAATGAAAGTTTTTAATAATAATAATAATAAAAAAATAAAAAAAATTAAAAATAACAATAAAAAATATATTTAGAAATATGTCATAATCCTTACAGGCAAGTGCAGGCTGAGAGCAGTGAATACATCGCTGGGCGAGGAGGGGGTTGGCCGGTGGCTGGTCGCTAGCGGAGCGCAGTCCCCCGCCGCCGCGCTGACATGGGAGCGATCCGGCCGGCGAGCTCCGATCCGCGCCGCGCTGCTCCGCGCCGCTCCGCGCCGCCGGGAAGTTGTGGTACCGCCCGCTCTGCCTCCGCCGAGTGACTCGTCAGGCATCAGCTCTCCTCTCCCCCTGTCTCTCCTCCTCCTCCTCCTCTCCCTCTCTCTCCGCCTTTGGGGGGGATGAAGGTGCTTATTGTCAGTAACTTCCGATCATCAGCAAGTGCCCCCCCGCGCCCCCTCGGGCCGGGCCGGCCCCGCCGGGCGGATGGAGCCTCTCGGCCGTCTCCGCCGCGCCCCGCTCCGGGCTGCGCCCCGCGCCCCGCTCCGCGCTGCGGGCGGGCGGCATCGCGGGGCGCGGAACGGGAGGCGGGATCCGCCCGGGCGGCCCCCGGGGCTGGCACCGCCTGCGCGGAGGGGGCACCGCCCGGCCCGAGGGCAGCGCCGGCCCGGGAAGCCTTTTTTTTTTAAAAAAAATGAGCAAGGGAGGGGGGCTCCCTCTCCCCGCGCCCTCCCCGGCCCGGCGGAGCGGGCGGCGCCGCTGCTCGCCCGCATCCCCCACCACGGCGGCCGCTGCCCCGCTCCGCTCCTACAACACGTGTCTCCGCTCCGGGGCCGCTCCGCCCTTACCTCCGAGCGGGCCGGAGCGCGTCCCGGTCCCGGCCGGCCCCGGGCGGGCGGCAGCGGGGCCCCGGCAGCCCCGGCGCGGGCCGGGACACCCGGGCGGTCCATGCCCGGCTCCGCTCCCCGGCGGGGCGCGGACAGCGGGTCGAGCAGCGCCGGGCTCGGTGCGGGCTCGGCCGTGCCCCCGCTCCGCACGGCTCGCCTGCCCTCCAGCGGCCGCTCCGCCGCCCCGCACCGCCCGGCCCCGCAGAGCCGCGCTGCCCCCGCCTCGCCTTTGGGGGGTTTTTGATGGGTTTCGGGATTTTTTTTCTTTTTTTTTTTTTTTTTTATCTTAAGAAAAAAAAAAAATTCACACGCTGAGAGTGTGCGGTAACTCTTTCCCCGTGTCTGAAAGCTCGTTTATAGCAGACAAGATGCCAGGAACCGTTAACCTCCACGCATAGCCGAACTCTCCACAGAGCGCCCAACGTCAGTTAACACCTTATTAAGTGAGAACATAACCACAGCTCACAGCTCCGAGCTTTCCAAATTCTCCACTCGAATAACAGCATCGGCACAGGATGTCGGGCCCAGCTGCTCCCACTGCTGCAGGGACCGAGTCACTTGCTCCCTCGGCACCCTCAGCCCCAAATCAAGCAACATCTTTAATCTCTGGAGTTCAGCACTGGCAACCCTTCAGGCACCAAGTCACAGGCTTTTTCAGCCCATAGTTTCAGGCCCAAGAGGCACAGAAAACATTAAGAAGTTCTAAAACAGTGACCAAACTAAGCCCTTATAAAACCTCCAGCACCAACATGCATCTATCTAACAGACTCACACTCCTGGTCTTCTGAATCTGCAAGTCAAAAAAAAAATAAATCCAAACTGCTGTCAGTTGCTGATGTCACCAACATCAGAGGCCCCAGGCATCCCTGTCACGGCGGTCCCACAGCACCTTGCCACAGCTGAAAGCTGTTTTTACAGGTGCCCAAGACCATCAGAGCCACCATCTGAACCCTACAAGTTGAGCTCACTGAGATGCCTGCTCTGGAATGTTACAAACAGAATTTGGGGACTGGCAAGATTACAGTATTTAGCCTAGATGTGAAAATATTCCATATATTCCTAATCACCCCCAGTGCCTGACTTTGTGGCAGCACTTTGGGCAGGAGAAGCCCATCCTAGACCATCTTACACTGTAGGGTGCTGCTCAGTCAGCCACAGGAAGAGGCACCCACAGCATGGGGTCAAGCCCAGCGTTTCCACATGCATCAGCCCTCACTGAGTCCAGCACCTGCTGCCCAAGGAGCTCCTGCACACACAGGAGCTCTGCAAAGCCAGAGTGTCGTTCCTCTGTGACACTCACAGCCACTCGTACTCACCTGTGAGCACGAGCTTTGATTGCTCCTCAGGCTTCCCATCGTGGCAGCCTCATCACCTGCCTCCAAAAAAAGGCTCTGCCCAATGCCCAAGCTGGCCCAGGGTGGCTGCACCTGGATGGAAGCAGAAAAGCTGGAAAAGGAATTTGAAGCTGCTGCTAACATTTATAACAGCAGGGAAAGTTAGAGCAGCTTCAGCAGAGCTGTAAGCTCCGAGTGGAAAAACTCATCACAGGTGATGCTGGCCCAGCCCACACTGACACACCAAGTGACCACTGTAACCCAACTGCGGCCAAGGGACTTGGATCCACACAGGGCAGAAGGCACCTGGACACCTCAAACAGCACAGACTGCCAGGGCAACACCAGGGATTGTTTTAGGGAGGGCACATAGGGGGTTTTCTTTTCTCAGTTATTTTATTTGCAATCACACGAGCTCTTTATTTAAACTAGATCTGTGTTTTATGCCTCGTTAGTCTGGAAAAACTCTTTAATCTTTAATATCCCAATAGTTACCCGGAGAATAATACCAATATTGGGTCAGTCTCAGGCTACCAGCCTCGAAGAACACACATGGGCACAGAATAGAGATGTGGCAGCTCGTATGTATCTCATATACAGAAATACAATGTAGCTGCACCTTGTTACAAATGTGTGTATACATATATATGTATCTCTGAAATATTAAAAGCTCCCCAGCGTTGCTCCACTGCTGAAGGGGTGCCCTGTGATCCGATTCCCAACACACACCCAGGCAGAGCAGCCGATGCTCACTGCAAAACCTTTCAAGCTGTTTGTTTCTCACACAGCGTGCTCCAGGTGTGAAGGCTGGTGCAGCAGGGTCCTGAGAGCTCCATCTTCCCAACACTTTATTGAGCAAGATGCAGGCCAGGTTGGTCCCTGCAGCTCAGGGTGTCCCTGGGAGCTCTCAGGGTTGCTGCCTCCTGCTCACCCCTGCAAATGCCTGAACGAAGGCTGTATCCTACAGTGGCTTATTGGATTAGTGGCCTCTCTCCAGCAGCTCAAATCGAAGTCTGAGCTGCATGACCTTTCACTTGCAGGGCAGTGAAGGTGCCCCTGGTGAAATGAGCTTCCCTTGCCCTGCTCCAGTGGTCCATATCACACGAGGAGTGGGCATTTCACAGAGCATGAAGCCCTTTCAATGGAGCCAAGGACTTAAGGGCATGCTTGAGTGGGAAAAACCTTCCCACCCCCCTGGACGCCCCTTTGGAATGTGAATGAGAAGCCAGCAGGAAAGGCCAGCCCAGGATCTGGCCCTGCTGCATCTGGCACACCAAGATTGAAATTAAAATGAAAAAACCTGGGCTGATGTTTTACAAAGACCAAGTTCAGCTCTACATCCCAGCCCTGCCACTGGTGAGCAAACCTGCGTGCTGTTTGCTCCTGTCATCTGCATCCCCAGCCTTGGGCTGTTTCAGTAAGTCCTCGGTGAAAATCAGATAGAAGAGGGTTTCTGCAATTGAAACCCCCAGTAAAAGCAAAGACAACTTTTAGACTGGCTGGGGTTCATGTTCTGTCTTTCTCCAGTTTACACACAAAAAGGCAATTCCTTCCCAAGGTAAGAAATGCTTCTACCACATAGCCTGGGCAGACAGGGAGAGAGGAGATATGCTTTGCAGTTGCCACCATTTGACAGAAGAGCCACCTCAGAACAACCCTGAACTGATGCCCAGGAGGACAGGACTTCAGCACCATCACATTCAGCCACAGTCTTGCAGAAGGAACATGGTGAAGAACAGTCAGGAATGGAAGGGACCTTAGAGATCATCTCATTCCACACCCCTGCCCTGGGCAGGGACACCTTCCACCAGCCCAGGTTGCTCCAAGCCCCGTCCAACCTGGCCTTGGACACTTCCAGGGATCCAGGGGCAGCCACAGCTTCTTTGGGCAACCTGTGCCAGGGCCTCCCCACCCTCACAGGGAAGAATTCCCTCCCAGTATCCCATCTAATCCTGCACTCTGGCAGTGAGAAGCCATTTCCCCTTGTCCCTTTATCCCTCATCCCCAGTCCCTCTCCAGCTCTTTTGGAATCCCTTTAGGCCCTGGAAGGGGCTCTCAGGTCTCCCTGGAGCCTTTTCTTCTCCAGGTTGAACAACCCCCAGCTCTCCCAGCTTGGCTCCATAGCAGAGGTGCTCCAGCCCTCAAAGCATCTCCATGGCTTCCCTGGACTCCTGATATAAATGAAATTCCCATAAAAATTCTGCAAACCTTTTGTAAGTCATCAGTGTGGCCACTCACATATGGATACTCACACATGGGAGAACAGAGCAGGTGGTACAAACCAACCCAACCCACATTTTGTAGATTCAAATGCATTCCCTGAGACAGAGCCCTTTGGTGTTCGGATATTTGGGAGTGGTGCAGCCTTGGTTGGACCCGTGGGCCATCAAACTGAAGCTGCAAGGCTGGAAAGCTGCTGGTGTTCAGCCCCTGAAGCTCAGAGATTTCCCTGCATGCCAAGAGGCAGAGGGAAGGCCCACTCACCAGTTAACTCCAGGTGGAAGTTCAGTCTTAGCACACTGAAGTTTTTCTCCTGGATATAAATGAACTATGGAGGAACAAAAGCAACCCAAACCATTCGTTGACAGCTTTTACACAGGGATTTCAGCAAGCCCTGAGACAGATGAAGAGCCTGGGACATAGCACAGCCCCAAGGTGTGTTTGCAGTCATTATGCTGTTCCCCTGGACTTTGAAAGCACAGGGAGATGGAAGGAACCAACTGAAACACTGAAGAAAGGTGTAAATACAGCCAAGGCAGAAATGCTGAACTCCCACACCAAGCATTTGAAACGCTATCAGAACATGCATAGCAGCTTTCCTTCACTAGAGTGAAAAAAGAAGCCAAAGCAATGCTTTTACTGCTGGGTGCCCTACGCTCACACTTTTCACCTTGTGACCACTGAGCTGTGCTTTGTAAACCCCACAAATCCCACACCAAGCTGAAACACATGAACTGCAACACACCATGCCAGCCAGGGGGGATGGCACCAGCAATCAGAGACTTCAATCCTAAATACAAGCTTCAATCCCCTGCAGTGACCCAGCACCTGGGTGGGTTGGGGCCTGGAGACTGGCGCTGTTGAGGTGCAGGTGTGGCACGACCCCATTGTTTCACCGAGAAATATTTGCTATTTAATCACCACTGGAAAGCCCAGCTGGAAAGAGGTGAAGTTTATCCAGTCTGGAGGCTGGATAAAGGTGACACAGCCAT